AGTGTAAAGTGCTTTGAGTATCTTCATAACATAAAAAGGTGCTATACTGTATATAGTAAGTACAGACCATTACCATTTACCATATCTGCTAATAATTTTCATTTCTAACACTACTACAGCTAATAATTTTAATTAATAACTTTTCACAAACAATAGAATTGATCTGGTTTTACTGTAATAGATTTATGATTTAATAAAAATCAGCTTGTTATATTGTTTCTGATGTTTTATTTATTGTGTTTTACTGTTTGTCTTTGCTGACTGTGACATCCCGTGTTTGTTTTCTCTGTGAACGCAGGAATCATGTGAGACAGGTGACTTCAGGTCAGACAGACTGGAAACACAAACAAAAAAAAAACGGATGTCTCATTACTTATTTTCCATTTTGTTGTCATTTATTCACAGCTCCCCACAAGACCTGCAGACCTTTGGTCCACCATCCCTTATTTTTCCAAAACAAAAAATGACCTTTCTCTGGAAGTGGATTTTTCCACCGCAGATCGTTACAACAACTAACATTTGTTTGGATTGTCGTGTATCATTTAAAATACTCACTATATCCTGACAGGGACTTTTTGTCAATATAATGAATTTCTAAAGACGTCTCAGGAGGAACCACAGCAGAGACTGGACCAGAAGCTTCATGTACTTTGCTTTCTGGTACCTCAGGTCCAACATCGCTCATGAATTAACGACAGAAATGAATAAATATCCTGGTTCAGAGTGCAGCAAATCAAAACATGATGTTCCTGTTGGAGCGGAACATTAATAAACCCTGCAGAGGTCAGGAAAACAAGCAGAACACTGGATGAAATCAGCAAAAAAGTTGAAATGACCCAAACAGAAGCTAAAATCAACTGAACACAAACTAAAGGCTAAAAAGCAGCAGAACTGAAGCTAAAATTAGCAAAGCTAGCTAAAAATCTAACTAGTGAAACATGGTCAAATGAGTAAAGCAGTGGTCATAATAAACAAAACTGAATATAAAGCCTCCTTGAATCACCATCTTATCACGGTGAAGGAGTTTGTGCGCCTGAATGATTCTAGGAGCTATGCTGTCTGGGGCAATTATAATTCCCCCATGTAGGGTCTCCCAAGGCAGATTGGTTTTAGGTGAGAGGCCAGACAAAGAGCAATTCCAAAGACTTATATGGACAAATAAGAACAAGGAACTCAGTGTCCCTTGCCCAGACATGGGTTACCAGGGCCCCACCCTGGAGCCAGGCCTGGGGGACGGGCTTGCCAAGGAGCGCCTGGTGACCAGATCTTTACCCATGGAGCACGGTCGAGCACTGCCCAAACAAACAACATGGGTTACCAGGGCCCCACCCTGGAGCCAGGCCTGGGGGACGGGCTTGCCAGCGAGCGCCTGGTGACCAGATCTTTACCCATGGAGCACGGTCGAGCACTGCCCAAACAAACAACATGGGTTTGCATTTCTGTGGGCCCACCACCTGCAGGAGGGATCATACAAGGTGGGTGAATGATGCCACAGGCAGTGCCCAAAGGCGAGGGAGGGTCTTGGCGTTCTGACCCTTGCTTACCAAAGCTGGCTCTTGGGCCATGGAACGTAACCTCTCTGGTGGGGAAGCAGCCTGAGGTTGTGAATGAGGTTGAGAGGTACCGATTAGATATAGTTGGGCTCACCTTGATGCACAGCATGGGCTCCAGAACCAATTTCCTCTAAAGGTGATGGACATTATTCCGCTCTGGACTTGCCCATGGTGTAAGGTGACCAGATTTCTGAAGTGAAGTCTGGGGTCATTTCCAGCTCGGAGTCCAAAAACAATGACATTTTATCAAGATGAAATTAAAAACAGGGACAGTTACAGTTTCATTTATTTTTACATATTTATTCATGTTTAAACAATAAAAATCAAATATAACAGCAGGAATGTGTCTCTCCACACTGTTAACATTTCCTAAGAGTAATAAAATTAATAAAGTAATAGTAGTAGTAATAGAGTACTAAAACGGGGGGAGAGTCAAGGGTACATACTAGTGAGCATGCATACCTTGTGAGTGAATGAGAACATGTATGTACTTACACAGGTGTGTATAAGTACACAGTGAATGCAGCACATCAGACTGAGGAAGTCTTTCGGATGAAAGACGAAACGTTTCTACATTTTTTGTTGTTGTTTTGCTTTGGTTTTTTTGAATGTCCAGAGGACCAGATTTAACTTTTTTTAGATTTTTCAGCCTGGATTATTGAGCATGCATCAGGATACACAGTGCATGGTTATGTAGCTGATGTGTATTTATATTGTGTGTATGTGCGAGGTGAGTTAAGGTCAGGTCACTGACATGAACTCATCTCTGGTTCTGTGAGGCCTCCTCTGTCTGAAGAGATGGTGACCATGGAGGTCTGGAATAGAAGAAGAGCAGAAAAGGTTACGCACAAAACTGAAAGAGCACAGATAATAGTAAAGAGCACAGATAATAGTAAAGAGAAATGCTTAAAACATGAGAAACAAGACAGAATTTAGTAATATGATTATATACCTATTATTTTCTTTTTATTTGTTCTTCCACTTATTTCATCATCACTCAAACAACTCTGCAGCATTGTGAACTCTGTGCTGGTCCATTGTAGTGAAGAGAGAACTAAGCTGTAAGGCGAAGCTCTCTGTTTACCAGACGGTCTACATTCCTACCCTCACCCATGGCCATGAACTCTGGGTAGTGATGAGTGAATGAGATCATAGATACAAGCAGATGAAATGAGTTTCCTCTGCCGGGTACTCTCCCTTAGAGATAGGGTGAGAAGTTCAGTTAATGTATCTGGAAGAGACTAGACGTAGAACCTCTGCTTCTCCACATCGAAAGGAGCCACTTGAGGTGGTTCGAGCATCTGATAAAGATGCTTATTCTTGGGTGCCTCCTATAGGGATGTGCTTCGGTCATGTCCGACTGGGAGGAGACTCTGGGGAAGACCCAGGACATGGTGGAGAGACTATGGCTCTTGGTTGGCCTGGGAACGCCTTGGGGTTCTCCCAGAAGAGCTAGAAGAGGTGGCTGTGGAAAGAGATGTCTGGGCCTCCCTGCTCAGCTGCTGCCCCACGACCCGACTTCAGAATAACTGGAAGATAATGGATGGATGAAAATAAAGCTAAACTTTGTCAAACAGATGTGAAAATTAGCTAAAGAAATGCTAAATTAGCTCAACAAATGCTAAATAAGTGAACCAGACGCAAAAATTAGGCAGGCATGGGGAAACAGTGGTCACAGTTGTGCCTCACAGCAAGAAAGTCACAGGTTCGCCTCCTGGTCTTTTTGGCTGGAGCTTGCATGTCTTCCTCGTGCACGTCGGTTTCCTCCCACAAGGCTACTCCTTGTTGTTCTCTAAAAGTTATTGAATCAAATGTTTATGAATAGGTAAACGTTGATGTTTAACAACCTGTTAAAATACACCAGAATGCAGGAAATGGCATCTACTTTATTCAAAATTTTATGGAGGAGGACCCCCAGAGACCCCCTCCACACACACACACACACACACACACCTCCTGCACTATTTGCGTTCTGGCATAGTAGTTTGGTTTACAAATGAAGCACTGACATGACTCTGTGTGGTTCAACTGTTCAAGTAAAAATGTGCTAATATTAAAGCTTTAAAAGTGAAGTTTTATTGTGAAAGGCAGGAAGTTCTATGGTTTGGAGGCAGCAAATCTCATTGCTGACCTATGACCTTTCAGGCTGACGTAGTTACTGGACTAAAGCAGATGAAAGGAGCTTACCCCTTCATTAAACTCAAATCAAACAACAAAACGTTAACATTTAATTTATAATACAGTAAACCAAGAAAAGGTGTAAAAACCATCTTAAACAGGAGACACCTCAAAGTGATTTTAAAAAAAAGTTTAGAAAGCAGAAACTGACCAACAGTGAAATAAATCATTTGTTAGTCAAGCCTGAATTACTTTCTGAAAATCTTAACAGATATCTTTAAGGAGGAGTTCCAGCGTGAAGAACTGTCACGTTCTTCTTTAACAAGGAACTAAAGATCAGGAGATGGAGAGGAAACCACAGAAACGCATTTGATTTGAAACAAACTCTCATTTTGATGCAGTTTTCACTCGAGGCCTGATCCCTCGGGTTTGCTTTGGCACCAGGAGGAAAACATTTCAGAGCTGGACTTGTTTTTCTCAGCAGGAAGTGTCGGCAGAGAAACGATGATTTTAGAAAACCTTTTGTTCTTCATTTCCTGATGTAATGTTTAAACGAAAGCTGGTTTGCTCAGAGGATCGAGCCAAGAAGTTCTGATCCTGTGCATTAACGTGGTTCAGCTGAGGACACCGGACCGAGTCAAGGAAACAACGTTTTAAAAAGAAACAATTCTCTCACACACACCTACAATTTAGTTACTGTGACCCAAACAAGGAGAATTTTAAGGAAGGAAACTGGAGAACCAGGAGGAAATCCACTAGAACATGTAAACTCCACACACATAGGCTGGGGGATGAACCTGTAACCGTCTCAGAGAGGTGACGGTTCCAATCACTGTACCACCGTGCTGCAGACATCTACACATGTACATATTTTGGATTTGAATTAAAATAACTTCCTAAGAAAACCTCTAAAAAACACAACAAACCTGAGCAACTTTATGCTGGATTTTTTTTTCTGCAGTCCATCCATCATCTGGTTCTGGACTCGGGTCTTGGGACAGCAGCTGGATCAGAGAGATCCAGACCTCTTTCCACAGCCACCTCTTCTGGGAGGACTTCACGGTGTTCCCAGACCAGCAGACAGTCTCTCCAGTGTGTCCTGAGTCATCTCCAGGGATCTCCTCCCAGTTGGACATGTCCAGAACCAGAGCTAGGGAGGTCTCTCAGCTACTACCACGCCAAACTTCAACATCTGTACAACTGTTTTTTTGTTAAGGTGGGTTGGCTGTGGCAGCCATCTTGAATCAGGTTGATTTCAACAATTACTTTGAAAGCTTGTTCTTAAAATCCATCCCTGAAGAATGAGACGAGAATAAAGAAACTCTTTGCCAGTAAATTTTATTTTGATATCTTGTAGAACAGAGAAACCAATGATTACAAAATAAAAGTCTGTAAGTGTTCTACATGCTACACCTTAACCTAATTCATCATGCTTGCCTGAAAAAGAAAACAATTAAAACAGACGTTACAGTCAACATTACTCTGATGTACCTTCCTGTCGCCTCCATGCTTCACTTTGGAAAAAAAACAAAAACAAAACTAAGACTTTTCGGCGCTTCGTCCAACCAGACAGAAGTTTTCCCACTAAAGACTGAAACCACCAAGAATTAAAAAAAAAAAAAAAAAAAAAAAGATACCCATATGGATACTGATGAAAAATGGAAAGCTTCTCCAACACAACATGAATTTTGCATCTTTAAAACGAAGGAACATCCTGACGGTGCCGAGATGAAAACTGAAGTTTGTCCAACTCTTCGGTAATCATGTCGACGTAACACAAGTTCATCAAATAAATATCGCACATCTGCTAGAAATAAATAATGATTACTGAAAACACCTCACTATGTTAAATGCTGAACGGAGGACGTGGTCGGAGACCGCTTCACTTCATGGGACGAGGACGTAAAGCACTAGTGTGTCTTCGAGTGTCTCTCACGGCTGTTACCTTGAGGTAGATAACACATTTACATTGAACGATAATGGTTGCTGCTGGCATCATGTGTCAGATTTACAGTATGAAAGGGTTCAGGAAGCTTTCTTTGGGGAAAAACCTTAAAGTCAACAAAACCCCGGATACCCACCCCTACGGTTTCTTCCCCGACAGATTTTATTCCAACCCAGGAAAGGCTGTTAGAAAGCACTTTAAAGGCCCATTCGGTCGTTAGTCTGCCATCCCTCGTCATGTCACATGAAATAACCCTCCTGCCTTCAACTACAGTACGTTCAGGAGTGACATGAAGGTTTCAGGTGGATCTGACCCGGCTGCGACTGTTGGGACACAAGTTGGCGAACAGCTCTCATGGGGGAGTCTCCAAAAAATGTCTTTGCTCAGTCTCACCATCTTACCGCTTAATTTTTTTTAAATGAAAGAATATAACAATTTTTACTTAAAATAATGAGACCATGGGTGACTTGAACCCTTTCCAGTTTTTACAGGCGTCTTAAACCCGTCTGAATTTTGCCAAAAGCATTTAAGAGTGCTTAGATCTGAATTCTGACACCTGCAGGGGAGATCTCACACATCCAGGCAAAAATAAGACATTTTTGGAAAAACTCATTTAAATCTGCCTGTTCATTTTAAGGCATACTTCCTGTAGATTTAACCATAAACGTGGAGCGGCTCCCAACGTGCGCATGGCCTTGAATACAGTTTTTATAAGGCATGCACTAAAATCTGATTTTTTAAATACTAGCTACCCCAAAACACAGAATTCAAATCAGACTGTAACGTAAACTTCTGGTACTTTTTAAGACTCCAACTCGTGTGGAACCGTCGCAGCCCAGTGAGGTACCAGCTTCAGCGATGACGGCGTAGACAATAACTCAAAGGCCCGGTGATCAAGGCTCAGAGTGATGACAAAAAATAAACTTAAAAAAGAACAAATCACCTCTCAATTTCAAGAAACAAAAGTAACGACAATAAAAAAAGGTATGAAATGATTCAAGTACAATAACATACCATGTTATAAAAAATAAAAACAGAACTGCCTACATTACGCACTGAGGGAAGATACAGATTTTCCATTAATTCAGATGCTTGAAGATGCTGCTGTAGGTTTTGTGAGCGATCTGCGGAGAGCATTTGACAGCGCAAGGCGTGAGGGAAGCCTGGATGGATTTTAGAGGCAAGTCATCGGGGCCGTCAAAGCCGGGCAGGGCCAGAGAGTCCAGCTGCATATTGAGAACGATCTCTGCACTACTGTCCAGGAAGCTGTCGTCCAGCTCTTTCACCACCAAGGACTCCACCTCTGAGCTGGCCACCGTCTCGGCCACGCCCTCCTCCTTCCGGCTGAACAGGCGGTCCAGATAGCTGGTGTAGGTGCTCTCCTTCTGGAAGTGGTCCACGTTACGAATGTCCCAGCATGCTTCATCTATCAAGCAGCCGGGCTCTCCGACTCGTTCCTCAGAGCTCAAGTTTTCCCAGGGTTTAGCGGGCCAGACGCAGTCTCCAGCGACGACCCCAAAGCCTCCTCCGCCTAACTGGGCAAGGTTTACCAGGCACTTCTCCTCCTTCTCCTGACGTATGGTCTTTGACACGGAGCTGGAGCGCGGAGCCTCCAGCTGGGAGACGGAAAAGTTGAGCTCGTTCAGGAGGCCCACCTCGCTGAGCAGGGTCACCTCTGAACACGGTTCTGGCTGCAGGCTCAGTTTGATGGTGCTGGCGATGAAAGAGTCAAAGTCAAAGCCTTGGTTCTGCTGACTCTGAGGCCTTTCTGTTTGATGTTTCTCTTGGATACTGTCCTTCTCTACAAAACTTGGGGTCTTCTCTGCCTCCTGCAGTGCGATCTGGGCCTTGACGAGCCCGTTCTTCTCACACTTGGACTTGGCCTTGCGGTCAGCCTTCTCCTTGCTCTGCTGCTCCTTCCAGTTGGAGAGGTCGATGATGAGCTTGGGTTCATAGTAGTGATTGACTTCGCTGTCCCTCCAGATCAGGTTTTCCAGGTATGACGGCGACACGGCCTTATAGTTGCAGGTGTGGCTACACTGTACGTCACAGTACTTGTTCTCATGGTGCTCGTCCTGCCACGATCGCTCCGGTGGGTGTCGGATTGAGTAGTCGAAGGACGGCTCGTCCAAGAACTTCTCCCGGTCTCCATCGGTGTATTTACGTGGATCAACCTGAACACCAACAGACAACCGCTGCCGTTTATGTCAAAACTCTAAATACCTGACAGCAAACATCTGACCAGAGCCGTGAAAATCACATACCTGGACCTCCTCTTCATCTGTGACGTCAGAGACGCCCCTGGGGTCAACTTGAACTTCATCTGGGTCATGGGTGCTGTGCAAGTGCCAATCAGCCTCTGAGAACTGGCTCTCATGATATCTAATTCAACCAGTGAGAAGAGGTCATGTTACAAATTAAACTCTGCAGCTTTGCAAAAAAAATAAAAATAAATAAAAAATAAAAGTTTCTTCTGTCCAAACGTTTTCTATAAAAGGTCAGTTTTTAATACACAAGAATACATTTTCAGATTTATTTTCATAAAAGATTGCGAAAGCAATTATATATGAAGCCGGTCACATAGTCCTGTGGCTCATCTGAAATGAAGTCGGTGTTCAAACCCACCTGTCCCAGGTATGGCTGTGGCTCTGGTCCATGAGCAGGATGTCATCTACTTCGTCCTCAATATGAAAGGGGTGCAGAGAGACGGGCTCGTCCAGGGGGAAGGAGTAGTCGGCCATATAGGGGTGGGCCAGGGCCTCCTCTGCAGTCAGACGATCCATGGGGTTAAAGGTGAGGATCTTCTCCAGAAAATCCAGGGCTGCAGGAGAAAACCGGGCTGTAAGAGGAAACGCCAGACCTGGCCCTGAGCCCTCCTGAACTCGGAACGTAGCACTCACCCTGCGGACTGACGTCAGGCAGCAGCTTGGCCAGCGGCGTGTGAGGCTTCGACATGTCGTTGCGGATGAAGACGGGGATGACACTGTGGAGCTCCTGCCGGTCTTCTTCGCGCAGGACGGGGATGGACTCCAGGATCAGCTGCATCTGCTCCAACTCGTGTGCTCCTGAAACACACGGCGGGCAAACGGTAAGGTCGGTTCTTAGAAAAGTTGCACAACGTCTGCTGGACTGAGGTTAGCGAGGCTAAAAGTAGCAGATCATGGGAGCAAATGTTTGCCCTGAGCCCAAATCAGGGCGGTTTTACACAGCTGCATTTGATTAAAAAAAATAAAATAAAAAACTAAGAATAGTGAAAGCACATTTGTGTTTTATCTAAACACACATTAGGACAAACAAACCTATATATTCACCAGAGTTACAGAGACGGCCTAAAACACAGTTCTGTCTGTTTAAAAGTTTAAAAACCCAGTCTAGGTTTTACCTGCAAACAGCGTTTTCCCGGTGAGCATTTCGAAGAAGATGCAGCCAGCAGCCCACATATCGATAGCTTTGGTGTAGTTGTTGGGAGAGAGCAACAGGCGGGGAGATCGGTACCACTTTGTGACAAGACCTTCAGAGAGGTGGCCCTGTGGAGCAGGAGACCAGATAGATTGGACTCTTTGTCTGGAGAACAGAACAGTCGGAGTCTAAAAGTTATCTTTGAGCTCCGAATAAGCGTTTATCAGAGGTTTTGTGCACATTCATAGATATGATTCAGACGGCTGTGAGCCTGAAGAAGCACAGCCATAACATTATCACCCTCCACCAAAAGGCAGCCAACAATCTGTCGGCAAGTCAGTTTGAAAAATATCTCATGAACCAACATATTTCAAAGAAACTCCAAGAAAGCAATCAGAAGTGCATCTACAACCGATTTAACTTTGAATCAACCTGATTCAAGATGGCCGCCACAGAATGACACAAAAATGGCCATAACTGTCAGTTTTACAGAAAGAAGAAAAACAGCGTGGTAGTCCTCTAACACAAGAGTGTCCAGTCCTGGTCCTGGAGGGCCACTATCCTGCATGTTTCAGATGTTCCTCTGCTCCAACACACCTGATTTGAATCAATGGGTGATTGATGTGTTTCTGCAGAACTTGAAGACTTGCTGAGGGTTGGATGACCTTTGAAATCAGGTCTGGTGACACTAAATGTCCAGAATATGAACAACACCGAGCAAGCAGCACATTTGCATAAACTCTTTGCGAGCTAGAGTTACGGAAACTACTGCCACACAGTTCTGAGTCACCGACTGGTTTCCAACAGTCCCAGCCCGGTGTGAAACAGGAAGTGAACTTTTAAGTCCCTGTGTGATTGCTTCGATACTTTCTCTGTGCTGATAATGTCCACAAGAGAGCAGGAAGACCGAGTCCAGAGGACAAAATACCCAGGGGTAGAGGGGATCAAACCCATGAGGCCATGTCAGCAATCTGAGAGCAGGATAATCCCACCCACTCCTCTGTATCACTAACCTGCTCTCCTCTCTCAAATCGTCCCTGATCAGTCACAGGACACTGAACACAAAAGGAACCTGACTGGTGTGTGTGTGTGTGTGTGTTTGGGGGAGGGGAGGTGGTAAAACAACACTGTTGCTCCTTTCCCCCACATGCAGTTTGTGGTGAGAGCCAACTGGTCAGCTCATGGCAGAGACCAGCTCCTGTTTCTTCCTTAATTTAGCTGCTGGTTGTTGAAGTCACACCATTCTGAGACGTGTGGCTGCTCTCCAAGCTTACGGTCTATAAAACTGCTTTGCAATTGATGAATGCGACTCCACTCGGCTCTTCTCTTCTTGATTCTTCTCAGGTGGAGGTAATGTGCTACTGTGACCAGTTTCCCCACTCTGTGGGTGGGATCGTAACTGGTCATTGTGTTCAAACCACTCCTCCCACTATGGTCCTCAATCAACCTATAATCGGACTTCAATTTCTTTAACTTATCCCGGCACTGCTCATAAGTCCAGGTGTAGCCATGCTGCACCATCATCTCCAGTAGCGCTCTGTAAATGTGCTCGTTTTTTGTGGCGCCGTCTGTCAACACAGTGAGGAAGTGGAGGTTCAGATGTAGTTTTCGGTTTTGCTGGGTGGGTCATCCAGTGTGACGTAGCTCTGCTGGCCAATCAACAGCTGCTGTCTGCTGACATCAGAATCATCACCACAGAGCAGTCCGCTCAGAACCACAAAAAAGGTGGTCCAATAAAACCGGGCTGAGTGGAGGTGGTACCGGCTGTGGGGACGCCCTTAACTGGTGCAGTGTGGTGTGGAACTGAGGAGAGCTGAGACAGTAGCAAAGAGCCATAAATGTGGAGCAACATCAACTGAAGACGTGCCCCTTCCTCCAGGTACATAATCCTTTGGTCTTGGAGCAGGTTGTAAAAAGAGGTCAAGCAGAATTAAGAAGGTTGTGCAACGAACAAGTTCCACACAACAAGATTCAGATTCAGATACTCTTTATTGTCGTTCGCACCACATGTGGTACATGTAGTGGAGCAAAATTATGTACAAGAGCTGCACAAAACCCGTTCTGAGAAACTTCTAAAGCTAAAATGTGATGGAGGTTCTGGTGCAAAACAGGCAGACAGTCGAACACAAAGGGATGTAAAATTCAGTTAGCATGTTGCATAAAAACCTTTTCTGTGTCCTGTGGACTCTGGAATTTAAGGATTTGTCCACTAGCTGAGGCCATAAAACACATCGTTTGCCTCTTACTGATGTCAAAGTGGGCCACTCACCATAAAAACACACTCATTAAAGCATTAACCGTCTCAATGAACAAGCCAACCACTTCATCTGGATCAGAACAAACCGTTTTATGACTCAAATGGGCCGTCTTGGTGTGTCTCAACTTCCTGGAGCTGCTGTAACCACATGTCGGTAAACGCAGGTGAACAATGAAAAAGAGGACACGCAGGCCTACTTTTGTTTCCAGGATTATTCCAGTACCAGATGACTAAACTATCGATTTCCTTTACGGTTCAGTTTTACTTGCTTTGACACTGAATGTAGGTAAACCATAAGGCTGTTTTGATACTTCTAGCTCATAGCTTTTATTACTTCAAGGCTTTTCAGTTTCAGCAGTCGTTCAGCGTTTACATCTAGGTTATTTCATAATACTCAGAGACTGCAAATTTTGCAGTAAAGTGTAGAAACTGTGCAGATGTAAAGAAATTTAAGTAAAAATCTCACAAAGCATCTGGTACTGGACGAGCCCGCTGCCGGCCCAAAAACTAGGTCAGATGCATTGTGTGGCAAGAAGGACCTCAATGAACCCTCTTCTAGATCACTGAAATTTAACACCGCAACTCATATTACTGAGACCGCTTGTGATTTTAGAGTAAAAACATTTTTCAGAGTTCATTTTAAGGCAACTGCTGTATTCAAGAACTAGTAACGAGCTGTTTCAAGTCACAGAACCGGTGCTGGTAGTGTTACACCCACTGAAACCGGACGTTGGAAGGCAGAACACAACTGGAAAAATGAACCCGATCGTCTGAGCGAGGTCCCCCGAACGAGACAAAGAGCTGGCTGGAAAGAGGCGGGGGTCTGGGCTGGAGAAGTTGAATGAGTGCACGTGCATTTTTGTCATTCTTGATCCCGAGCCAACACACGGGGCAGCCTCAAAGCTCATAGAGGCAGGCACAGACACATACTGGATTAATAAAAGCCTAACAAAGAGGGTGGGAGGAAGGAGGTGAAATTAAAACAACTGCCACAAAAGTAAAAACAGATCAAAACAGCTTCACAAAAAAAAAGAAGCTGTTTACAGCTTTACAGCATGGACTTGGTCAACCAGCCGCTGCCTCACACTGTGGGGGGAGCAGAACTGCCTCGGGTGGTTTCTGCAACAAGCACCAGCAACACGTCGCTACGCCTCCACCATCACAGAATAACACTTTAATACAGAAACGATATGTTTATTTTTATAAACAAGCTTTTTTTTTGGCATGGATCAACAACACACGCCAAACAAAAATAGATTTTCCTTACAAGTGTGAACATTTCATCCAGAAACCAGAGGTGATCGGGGTTCTGCTGTAGCTTCACATCAGCTGTGATGTTCTCAACAAACACTTTTAAAACTCATTAAAAAGAGACTTGTTTTTATACTTCATGGAGTTATAACATCTTTTGTTTTCCATATTTAGCCTGGACTGTGTTTTACTCCAACTTTAATTATTTTGTACAAGTTCTTTGCATATTTCTGAACTTTTAAGAGCCACCTCCCTTTCTGATGCGTTTAAATTAAATTGGACGGAGTCAGAGTTATCTGTTGGAGATAAATATCTGAAAAAACGCTCACGTTATAACCATTAATGCTTTTTCTAAGGCTGATTAACAGTGTCAGCCATGTTGAATGGGTTTGTCAAACTGAATCATTTGTAAATGTAATTTTTTGATAGAGCTTGTTGTAAGGGTAACCCCACCTGTCTGCATGTTTCTCATTACACAGATCTCACTTCTCACCCCTCTCTACCACACGAAGATGCAACGTCTTCAACAGGCATGACTCATGATCACGCAGAACTGAAAACGTGTCAGTCTTCAAATTATACTAAACAACTGTCTCAACCGCGAGGTCCTGTCTGGGTTCGGAGCGTGAGCTTGCTCCAGATCATCTGATGACTAATCTGAGACACGTGCGAGCATCTGACCGCCTCAAAGGCGACCCAACAGAGACCGGGGTGGGGTGGGGTGACCTGGATTTCCTCACATCACACCATCCTACTGCTACAAACTGGACTTTCCTTATCTCTTCACAAAACGAAAGCAACACGAGCCTTTCAGCTGACTACAACCAATGCATGGTGAACCAGACCTTTCTGAGATAAAGAAGAAAAACATTTAGATTCTGAATGAAAAACTCCCCTCAAAACAATTATGTATTCATATTTTACTATTCCCATAAAACTTCAAAGTTTGCATTAAAAGTTGATACAAGATGAACTGGGCCTGCTGTCGTGAGCAGTTCAGATGTTTCATCTTCCTCCATTTTAAGCCTTGACTGATAAAACAAATGTTTATTTCTCGTCAAACATTTATGTAATGGGAGAAATAGTTCTACAGGGTTAAAAAAATGTTAATCTTCACCCATGAGAAAGGAAACAGAGGCGTTACCTCAAGGAACCACATCCTGTTTTGTTTACTTCCTGCTCTGAAGAACCACGTCACCCGGGGGAGCACCACATCACCGAGTAATAAACATCCCACAGCAACGCAACAAAGCTCCGCTTCAGAGCAGAAAACGCAGAACAATGGAATTTATAGCCGTTATAAACAGTTGTGGAACTTCAACAGTAACAGCGGTGTCGCCCTACCTTGTGGGAGTAGTGAGGATCCATGATGCGGGCCAAACCAAAGTCCCCAATCTTCAGTACCAGGTCCTCTGTGTTGACAAACAGGTTGGCAGGCTTGAGGTCCCGATGCAGGACATTAGCAGAGTGGATGTACTTAAGGCCTCTCAGGAGCTGGTACATGAAGAGCCTGGCGTGGCCCTCAGACAGAGAGCCCCTCTCCAGCAGCTGACAGAGATCCGTCTCCATGTACTCCTGAACGATGTAGACAGAGTTCACCTCTGTCAACGACGCCACGTCTTCTGTTAGACTGCGGCCGCAGGGGCCCAGGGTCTCAAACACCTGACAGCAGATAGAAACATCATTAAAGCCAGATAAACAAACAGGTATTTTGTTTTATTTCAACCTCCAAACTGTACCTTGACGATGTTGTCGTGATCAAGGCGCCGTATAATCTTGATCTCCCGCAGAGCGTGCTTCACACTTTGGGGGTCGGTCAAGATGATTTTCTTCACGGCCACACGCTTGTCACAGTCGGTGTCGACCGCCGAGAACACCAGGCCATTCCCTCCATAGCCCAGAGGCTTCAAGTCCATGTAGCGAGAACCCAAATCAAAGCCATGGATATTCATCAGGGACTCAAACTTTTCTGCCATTACGACTGATATGAAGGCTTTCAGCTTCTTACTCTGATTTTGCTTTTAGAAGCCCAACTTTAACGCTGAGGAGTTTGTATAAAAATGTCCCCTTTCCTTCAGAGGATGAGCTAACTAACCCTCAAATGGACGACTACCAAGTCCCCCTGGCTAACCGTCGCTGTCAAATGTGCAGCACGAATGCGTAATCCGTTTTTCTTTCCATTTTGAACAGAACAGCTCCAAGTAAACTAGTGTTTATATATGCAATGGAATGGACTTTAAAGCCAATTAGAAGGGGGAATTAAAAAGGACTGGGATCAAATTAAACTATAAAAGCGTGTAGTTACATCCTCGCAGTGCAAAAACATTCAGTGTACGACTGGTCCTGAGCAGCTTCATATGAAATGTGCCAAAGAGCACAACTTCTTTTAATTCTTTAATTTTTTTTCTTTCAAGTTACCTGATCTATAAATTTGAAATGAGTCTGGCCTTTAAGTCTTTAATAAAATAGATCACCCTCAATGATCAGGTGGCTCAAGCTCGCCACAGTCGCAATCAAAGCTATCCTCCATTTTAGTTGAGTATACCCTGAAAGAAAAGACAAAAAAAGGGAATTAATTTTAATTGGTGGCATGAAAATATATTTATTTAAAAAATTTAACCACAGCTCCATTTTTAAGCTTAAAAAATTGCTGGAGGCTTTTAGGATCGGTGTTGTGTCGAGATGTGTTCCTCCACCATCTTCATTCCGTTCGCTCATGAAAGGCGGGGAAACGGATTTCGACAGGGGACAAAATTCGTCACAACACCAGCTAAAGCTTAGCCCCTCCTCTACCCGGTAAGCTTGCTAGGCCGGTTCGGGAGAATCGATAAATTTCGAAGAAAACCCACAGTGGTCCGATAAAATTAGAATACAAGATAACGCAGTAACACCACACGATAATGACCATTAAAAGCGTTTGTGCTGACGATATACCGCTTGTTTCGGCCTTTGTCAAATAAAAGAAAAGGCCGGCGGAGAAAAAAAAAAAACGAAAAGAACGGAGTCAAGCCGCTCACAACAGCTCCGCCGACTTAATTTATCACAAACCAGATAATGCCAGATAATGACATACACACCAACCAACAAAGAAAACATTTATCTTTAGACATTGAGAATGTAATAGATGTAAAGCCCAGCGTTATAGAGAAAACCGACAATAACGCGAACAAAGAAGCCGTTGTTGGCGGAAGGTTTTTGACTACGTGGTACAGCTTTCATAAGCAACACAAAGCCGATGTCGACAAAAAGGCTCAAAACGGCCAAAAATCCGCTTTGAAATTACACATAGAGTGAGCGAAATGTCGGGGGTCAACGTGTGCCCAGTTACTTACAGTCCTTATTCGTGGCATTGGTTGAATTTTAGTCTAAATCAGACCCTGACTACGACAGACAGCGCTCCGCTCCCTGGACTCTGCGGATCTGCTGCATTCGCCATTTAGGCTGGATGTGAACGGCTGTGGTGACGTGACGTTGATACGTTCATGGACTGTCAGAAATATTATGACAAGACTGATCAAAGAAAAAGATTTACCCGTTTATAAATATAAATTATAGTTCTTTTTACATTACCGTTAATTTACTATTACGCATAACTAATTTATCGTATTTTATAGTAATATATTAAATTTGACTTTAATTTACTGGTGATTTTCAGTAAATTATTGTTTTCATTATAAATGGGAACTACATTATTCATTTATTTCCCAAAAGCATTGCTCTCAGCAGCTTATAAAAACATGGTTATTCTTTAATAACTTAAACAAAACCATAAAGGCTTGTGTTGATTTTGTCCGTTTGCACTTTCGAGTCGGTTTTGAAATTTAAATCTCCGAGCAGCGATTGAACGCTTCACGAGCCATTCAAAACATTTGTTAGATGTTTTAGGTCACGCGACAGTGGTGCGTTTGCAGTCCCGCTCGATTATTGCAGCATTTAAACAGAAAACACACACACACAAAAAAAACAAATCCAAACAAAAATAAATTCAATTCATGAACAGAAAACACGGGTGTTGCGTCACTGCTGCATCAGAAATTAGCTATTTAAAAAACAAAAACAGACTCAGGAGTAAACATTGAAGCATGTCAGTAGAGGATAAACCCCAACATTTGCTGTCATTCGTGTTTTGGAATGCATCAAGGGCCTTATCCTTGTTTAAAAAGAACGTTATGCAAGAAAAACTGCTGCAGGACAGATGCAGAGACATTTATCAGAAACTTAGGGTGGAACTATGTTTTTTGAATATTATTTTCTATCAAAACCATTAATAACAACATAAAATGTAGATGTAGTTTTCTTTCCATTCATTTTTATAGCTTAAATTTACTGCTGTTTGTTTCTTCTCTGCGTTTAAGCTGTTGTTTTCATGTACTTGCTCCAGGTGACATCTGTTAATCTGCCTGTTTGTTTTTGCTTTTGATAGGAATTAATGTTGTTTTCAGATTTTAGCGCTGGATTGCATCCGACTATCATCCTGTCAGTGAGAAAATCCTCCGGTCAGGTCATTTAGTGCAGCCTGCGGATTTAAAACATCCATCTGGCGCTGAGATAACAGTGTCTGATACCCTCCTGCATCGTATTTCCATAACAAAAAGGAAACAAATGAAGGAAATAAAGATCCCCCTGCTCATATCTCTCATCCAAACCCTGTCCAGACCCTGTGGATGCTGGTCCATCCTCTCTCTCCGTATGCTGTGAATGGATGAGCGGATGGTGGGCGGGGATGCAGGGAGGCAGCATCACAGCCGCAGCATCAGCATCCGCAGACTCACCATGTGGGAGTCCATGTGTCTGAGGCTGCAGATGGCTCCTCCTGACCGAGGCGTGAAGAAGGAACATTGTGAACCCGACCTGGTGGGTGGAGAAGTGCGTCTGTTTGGGTCCATACCAGCAGGAGACAGAAACATAACTCAAAAGGCTCGTTTCCACCATGGCTTTTAATCTGATGGTGATGTTTTAAAAAAAGATTTTTTTGCTCCGTCATGGTTCCTAAAGTTATGTAACAGGATATTGTGTCCCATTTTAAAAACAATGTATTGCCTTTTTTAAAGAAAGGAGATGACCTTAATGCAATTTTTAAATAAAATCTGTTTATTGCAGCAGCTAAATAGCTTCTATGAGAATATGTTTTCCAGGGAAAAAGCAAAAGAACAAAAGATCAATAAGAATATTTTTTTGTTTCCTTGAACTTTCAGTAAAACTATACATCATTAATGCCATGTAGTTTAGATTTTATTCACTAGTTAATTCATCTTAAATTATATTGTGTGATTTGTTTTGGCATAGAATCCAGCTAACTTAAGTCTGAAAGCAAAAACTTAAAGTTCAGTTTTAAGTTTTTGCATTTGTGTCACTTTTTCCACCTGAAATAGATATTATAACTCATTTTATAAACAATTTGTTGGTTTTATTAAAGGAAATACTTTGGTTTTTTTTTTACTTTTGAGTTGTTTCTCTTAAATGATTTGTCTGTAATCCTTTATTTTGTTTGCTTTTAATCCCTGATTAGCAAGACAAAAGAGAGATTTTCTGATTAAATGCTTCTAGATAGTTCAAAGGTGTTTGTGTTTGAACTGTGTCCTTATCTGGCTTATTTGCAGGACTTGCTGACGGTTTGTAATAAAAGTTATGTAATATTTAAATAATCAGATTAAGATGCGGGTGCTCTTTGACCTGATAAATCCAGGTTATGAAACGATCAGCCTTCCATGAGCTAATCTGTCATCCCGCTCCATCTGATTGTTCTGTGAGTCCAGTGTGTTCTGAGGCTCCAGGTCTTCTTACACAAGACAGAAGCTCATCTGACAGGGAGATGTCTATTTTTGCAGCCACACGTTCATCACGCCACCATCATCCCAACCAAAACAAACAGTTCCTCTCCTGCAGGGTCAGAGGAGGTGTCAGGTTCTGCAGACCACCTGAGTCAACTCTGCAGATCCAAATCTAGCATTCCATCTGTTCAATTGGTTAATTTCTGCATGAATTCTGCACAAAAACAGACACACTTCCCCCCTTCCTGTATGACTGATGATCAGTCCACTCACCGAGGATGAAAACCTCCGGAGACATGATGAAAACATGAAGTTATTCCACAGAGGAGAACTATTCGTGCATCCACCGAGTTATGTCCACAGTGAGGAGTGGGAGGCCGAGTCCTCAGTGCTTGTTGGTGTGTTTTCTTGCTCCACGTGCCTCCGGCTGTGAGGTGGAGCTCCGTGGAGCAGTAATATATGGAGCAGTTGGAGAGGGGAGGAGACTGCTCCTGCTTGGTTTTGTCCATCAGCACCTCCTCTTCCTCCCCTCCATTCATTCAGCCGGCTTCTCTGAAACTTGTTCATTTTTTTAGTTTACATGTTTTTTACTCCAGAGCTGTGATTTATTACAAAACAAAACAAAACAAGATAATCTGTTAAAATTATGTACATTTAGTCTGTTCATATAAGAATTAAAATATGGATTTGAATAGTTTGAAAGATGAAAAGTAAATATTTAAAATCAATTTCAGCTTGAAGGAACGCATATCTCCCGCCTCCTTCCACGCCAATGTTTTAACTAAAGACGACGTGTGATGTCTCAGCCCTCAGAGTTTGTGTTGGGGATGACTCTCAGCTACTACCACACCAAGGATTAGCTCAATGTCTGCCGAGCTGTGGCGGCCATCTTGAATCAAATTTACTCCAAAATTTTACGAGTTTTAAGTTGACATCCAATTATCATTTTCTTTATGTTTCATTAAAATCCTTCCTTTGGTTCAGGGAATATTTTGCTAACAGACAGAGACATGCACAAAGACGATTACATTATCACCCTCCTTTCTTGGCGGCGGGGAATAACAAACTGATCAGTGCTGATGATTTTCTCGCAAGAAACTGACAATAATCAAACTTTGGGTTTCAATGTTAGAAAATTTATTTTATTCTTATCCTCTTATTGCCCGTCACTAAAGGCTAATGTTTTTGACCATTTAATTTTGTATTCATTTGTCTGTCTGTTAGCAAAATATTTCAGGAACCAATGAACATATTTCAATGAAACTTTCAGAACTTTACTGGATGGACTGAATAAGTTTTGGAGTCAACTTGGTTTAAAACGGCGGCAGCAGCTGTCTGATCTTAGCGAACACAAGAAAGGCTCAAATTCAGTCCATTTTACAGACAATGAGCTAAAACTGTGTGGTACCAGCTGAGAGTCGTCCACAACACAGTCAAAAAACTCTAGCAAGCTCACGGTATCTTAAAGGGCAACTCCTCTCGCAGTCTGCTGCAGAACTGTATTTCCCTAAAAATGGGTTTTGTACTTTTCACCACACACTTTAAAGGTTCTCACTAAAAAAAAAAAACATAAAAAGTTTATCGAGCTGGATCAAACGGAGAAGTTTGAATGAGTTTACTCCATACATATGTAGCTATGAAACGTGGGGCTGCACTGGATGTAAACAAAGTACCATATTTTCCGCTGTACACGTTGCACCGCCGTATAAGTCGCATCAGTCCAAATATGTCTAATAAAGTGGAAAAAACATAAATACGTTGCGTCGCTATATAAATCACATCTATTATGCGTCACCGCTGACGCGTCGCGTTTGTTACACGTCACCGCTGACCACCTGGAAATGTGGGCCGGTGTTGTGCAAAAAAGCTATTGGCTGCCAAATGGCAACCGCGGGAGTGTGCACGTAATAAATGCACTTTGATGGTCAAATCAGCTGCATTTCAAAAGCCAATTCGCAGCTGCACAGAGGGTCAACTTGCTGTGCATTTGTTCAAAATTTAGCAAGATAACCACCCAAAAACAATCATTTGTTTGCTCGAAATTATAGCAAAGGTGTGTCTCAGTTGAACTTTTACTTAATAAATGCACTTTAATGATCAAATCAGCTTCATTTCGTGTGGGCAGCGCGACAAAATGAAGCTGATTTAACGTTTGCCCCAGCGAGCGAGACAAAAGTGGCTTAAAGCCAAGTGTCTCATTAATAGCCATTTTAACCTATTGATGAGACACTTGGCTTGCCATGTCAGTTGAGGACCCTCTAGTGGCTGAAAATGGTAGTGTTCATTATTTTCCATGTCAGATTTATTTATTTATTTATTTACCTTTATTTAGAATATATAGAATGAATGAAATCATCAGCTCTCAGGCAAAAATTGGGTTATAAATATACATAAATATGTCACTTTACTGTATAATTCGCAGGCATGTTAATTTATGCAAAAAATGCGACTTATACACTGAAAAATATGGTACTCATCAGAAAATCAAGTGATCATAGTCTGTAAACAAAGATGGAGCTAAAGTCAAGCTGTTTTCATGTATTTCAGCTGTTTTTGAAGGTAAAAACACACACTTTGGCTGTTTTGATGGTAAACAAACACACTTTGGCTGTTTTGAAGGTATAAAAACTCGTAGCAGTTGGCTGCTGGTCACAAATTTCAATGAGATTTATTTTTAATTTAAGACACATTTTTCCTCCATATGAGAAAAATTTCTGCAGATTTTCTTTCTGACTAATTTTTTTCTTGGTTTGTGGCTGATGTTAAGAATGTTAAAACATTCAACTTGATAAAGGTGTGAAATTAGAAATGTCAGGGAACAGCATTTCCTTGTTTTTCACTTTATAAAATAAACCTTTCAGAAAACCAATGTGTGCTCCCTGAGTGTCACCAGTTCTGCTGTGTTTTGGCTGTGGGACTGGTCCTGCTGGTAGCACTCATCAGGTCCAGGTCCAGCTCCTGTTCCTGGTCATCTTTGATCTTGTTTGGTACTCAGACCAGACTGCTGCAGGATCTGGACCTGCTGTATGTTACCAAAATACTGGAGTATGTGAGGACAGGAGGACACCCTGTGGTTCTGTGGCCAAGAACTAATCACCAACTCATCTTTTTTATTTTTATAATTCCAAACAGATGATCCGACCATGTTGTAATTGATTTGTCTGCCTGTAAGGATTTAGGAACCACACACTCCCCCCCACAACCTCAAATAACTTCCATTTAATGAATTAATCATTGATCAGTCTGAGTTCAGTAAAACCTCCTGATGTAACAGAAACTGTTTCCAGATCAGCAGTCAGAGTGCTGATCCCTGAAACTTCGGCTATTTAACGCTCTTTTGTGCTGAACCCAAAGCCGAGGGTCAGAAAGATCAAAATGAAGTGAAAATTCTTGCAGCCTGGTAGAAACACAGAAGAAGATCCTCCACACACACACCCTACTGATGTCAGACACCCCCTCAGTGTTAAGGAGCAATGTGAGTGACTGTCCTCAGTGGGACAGAGTGTCCACCACAGGGGACAAACATGCTGATCTGAATTAATTCCTCTGTGGTTCAAACTACTCTGAGCAGAACTCACAGGATCATCACAAAATTATTTGACTGTTTTTCCTCTCTTTTGTCTTGTGATCTGCAGTGAGAATAGGGAGCAGGTGGAAGAGAGCCTAGAGAGGTAGAGGTGTGAAAGTCAGAAGACAGAATCCATCTGGGTGAAGAAGGTGGAAGAGTTTAGGATTCTGGGCTCAACCATCCAAAGAGAAGTGAAGAAGAGAAAGAAGACATGGTGGAGTGGACAAAGACGAGTGTCCAGGGGACATATGGGACAGCAGATGAGCTGCAGGAGAACGAGGGAAGGTTTAGAGACACTGGAGGAGGAGCTGGAGGTGAAGATGTTCAGATCTTTATTTGAAGGCAGACGATTCTCCGTGGAGAAGCTTAAAGACTGAAACCTCAAAGGCTGGAAGAAGAAGACAAAATGATGACGATGGAGAGGACAAGGAAAATAAAAACAACAACAACAAAGAAGATGAAAAAATGTGACAACTCATCTGCTAAAAGGAAAAAGTCAACAAATTTTAAGACTGAGACGTTGAAGAAGATGAGGACAAAGAACAAAACAAATAAGAAGACAGCAAACACAACAAATGAGAAGAAGATAACTAAAAGTAGTAAAATGTCAGCTAAATGCTAACCATAGCATAAAAGTAGCTGAATCAGCTAAATGTATTTCTATGGGGAAAATGTTAGTAAATACCATGAAGTGTTTTAAAAAGTATAAAAGTCGCTCATACTTTTTGTAAAGGGTCTGTGTCAGTGGGTTGTGATCCCACTGACCCGGTGACAGCCGAATGGATTCTACTCAGTTTATTGATCCTGAACCGGATCCAACCTGGTCTGAGTGGAATCTGTGCCGCGAGCGGTGGGTCTGTTCCAGTTTACTGTAATGTTGGAGCAGCCAGGCTCGGATCAGCCAGTTCATGGTTGGTTTCTACAGCTAGTCTGTGTTCCTAAACAAAAGAAAATAAGTGAAAATCTTAGTCAGGTCTCTCTTGTAAATGAGTCCTCGAGGCTCAATGGGATTTACCTGTATAAATAAAGGTTGATTGATTAGTAGTTTAAAAACAACAACAGAATTGGCTGACGTCAGAGCGACAACACAAACATTTGCAGAAGTTTTGGAAGAAAAACAAGAATCTTGTGATCGGCATTGCGACAGACGTGTATAATGGTTGACCCAATGTGCAGAAAGTTTGCCTCAGATTGATCTTTGGACACAGAAAACCAGTGGGTGGATGGTGGTGGGGGGGACACCATCGGCCTGGGCTCCAGTCTGCATCCTGAAACCATCAGAGGTTCTGGATCTGTGTGGGATACAGTGAACTTAACTTTACTTGACAGCATTTAGCTTAGATTGAGTTGAGCGTCAAAATAAGTGTTAACTAAAAATAAAGTAAAATTGATTGGGTCATTTTATTGTGGTGTTTTGTGGGGGGTTCTGCAGGAGAATGGGGTGCCTCGGTTGCTTGTAAGGTCCATCCGGTCCCACAAAGTGGAGCTCATTCTTGTGGCAGGTTGGACTCCTGCCCCTAGTTTGTGGTCTTCATGGACCTCAAGGCCCAGTTGTAGACAGGAGGAGATCTGGTTTGTGTTCTCGTCTCTCCTTTATGTGCATGGCGTGGTTCTGTTGGCATCTTCAGATCATGACCTTCAGCATGAACTGGGGCAGCTCACAGTCAGTGTAAAGCAGCTGTGATGAGAGTTAGCTCCCATCTCGGGGTTTGGGACTCTTTAACTCAGATGTTGGAATTTTGAGGATCTTGCTTGTGAGTGACAGTGTGATGGAGCGGGATATGGAGCTACGGATCAGGACCTTGTCCTCAGTAATGAGGAAGTTGCTCCAGTTGACTGTGTTGAAAAAAAATTGTC